CTATTTAAAGTTCGGCATTATTCTACTTGCGTTGCACACTTATTTGTTATTAAACCGACGAAATAAATTATATTTTATCATCTAATTGAGTAAAAGAAGTTTTTTGAATGCAAACAAAATTGTGGTCTGCGAATAACACTAATAAATAAAACTTGATAAACCAAAATTATACTCTCTTTGAAAAATTGTCTATTATTCATCTTTCTATTCTATATCGTCACTTAAAGTAAACTTTCTACAAGAAATTAAAAGCATCGATTCATTACATATTCATGCTTAAGAAAATGTATTGAATTTATAAATAATTTGTTAGACCAGTTGTATTTTACGATTATGAAACTTTTATAGTTTTTAATTATTCTAATGATACCTATTAGTAGTATTCATTAAATTATTCTTGGCTATTATATTATACTTTAGACACTAAAGTACACACAATAAATAAATAATAACAATATCCTCGAAACTTCACTCAAACCTCGTGGGGATGAATCGAGTGGATATAACCACCAAAAACATCCATTAACTTAATATCGAAACTATATGTGTAAATGTTAATACTATATTATGCTGATTACCTCAGTGCTGAAGAGTGGTGTCTCTAACCCGGTTATGCCGTCGCCCACTCAACACGTGTCAAACGTCCTGCGTGAACTTTTTCGATATTATGTTATGTAATATTGGAAAGTCTCGTTGTATGTACCTAATACTTATATATTATTGAACTGACACTATTTTACTTTATTTCATTACTTAGTACGATAACATAATTTGATATATCATAACTTGCCGATACTCAACATATACCTATTCGTATAATATAGAGGTGCGAGCACTCTAAGGTCCATAACATATTACACCGATCGATGCGTTTTATGTATAATATGATAATACATCACGAATATTTACATATTATTTAAATGTACTCTCTATATCGTATTAGTACACTAGACACTCGAACCAGGAGTACGTATACTATATCCGTTATAAATTCCATTTGTCTGTCTTAACGGTAACCGGAAATACCTTCGTCTTACGTATTGAAAATGTCTTGCTACCTAACGAAAATGTTTTATCTTTTTGTCTCAAATTACGCGAAAATATTTATTTTGTTGAATATTTACGAGTTGCACCACCACATAAATTATATGGTACGGAGCGTTACACACTGTAAATTTGTCACAGACTTTTTTCCAATTCACCTTTTCTTAAAACATGACTTTTGTTCTCCCACTGTATTCAATAGCCACGATTTTCCTAAACACAATTTAAAATGTAAAACTTAAGAAGTCTTCGAATTTTTCAGATCAAAAAACAGAATAAACTAACTTAATTTGTTTACAGCATAAAACTATACATTCATATTATATACGCGTATATGATTGATCACATAAAAATAATTTTCTATTCAGTTGGTATAAAAAATCAAAATTAAAAAAAAAATATAAAGTTAGTAAAACTTGATTGGTGGGGACACTATGATACAAAAATATTATATTCTTAAATGGGAAGAAAACCTATAATGATACAGAATAAGCTCAATGGACATTATATTTTATCCGACAGGCAAGCACGGACTTAACCCTTTGTGTTCCTGCCGAGTAAATCTCGAAGGGTAGTACAAAATTTGTACAAAAATACTACACGCGTTATCGAGTTATTACATTACTGTTTGTTATACCTTTATTATATGCTGTGTTTTTTTCGTAGCTTTTGAAAATTGATTATAATATCTAAATTTGTTAATAATCATGGCATATAGATGTGACATAATAAACCGAAAGCGAGGTATATATTATAATACCTTTTATATTTTTTATTGATTCTTATGAATTACTATTCTTCATTGATGTTTCATTTTAAATTTATTTACAATAAACCTTTCGGTTTCTATATAGGAGGGGGGGAGGGGATTGACGACTCTGTAAAATATATATGTATTGTTTAGTGTTTATGCACGTAGGCATATAATTATATGCATTGTGTACATCCATGGCTCGTCAATCCCGTCGGTTATTCAGTTGAAGTATAAAAATAAATGTTTATAAAAAATATAACACATATACTCATTACACATGCATATTGCATACTCAACGATTTGATTAACGTGGAAGTGTACGCCTCATATTTGCACTATATTATTAAATGACAAAAATTGTGTTTAGAAACACAGTTATAATATGTATACTGTGCAAATATTATGTAGAGTGTGTGCAAACTATCATTTATTACAATACTGCGCATATTGTATAGGTATACAGCGATACAAACAACATGAAATAAATAATGCACGTGATATTAAAATGGATATAAATTATTTTTCCTGGTTCATTGTGTAACGTTTGTTAAATCACTAGAAACCTAATATTTTGAAATGATTTATTTCGTCCTAGAAAATAGAAAATTTAAAATAAAAAACAACACAAAAGTGCGTAATTTGATATCAAAATTCAATAGTTAAATGGTTGTATCAGATTACTTTTTATTACCTAATCGAATTCTATTCGAGCAAAATATAATTATTTTTGTTTCAATCGAAAGTTGTATTTGCTTACAGCTATACCTAATATAGTAATATTATACTATAATTTTTTTCTGATGATGTGTTACAATACCTAGTCTGTTTTATTACCATATTAAATAATTATTACTTAAATTATGTGAATTATATTGAAAGGAATCTAAAATTGTACTGTATGAATAGGGAAAATCAACAAAATTGCAATTGAATTAAAAAATGCCAAAAGTTGCAAAAAATTGCACAACAATTTTTAGATTTAAATCGTATTTAAACGAAGCGATTCTAAGACCATATTGGCGACAAATCCTCTCAATGAACAAAAAATTGCAAATTTAACAACATCGGAACCTTAATTATAATAGAAGTCTAAATTAAAATAATATGTAAATGTATGAAGACGCTATACACTAATATTGTATTTCGGGGAGATTCTCTAATGATTTAGGGGCTTGGCAGGGAGGCTAAATTTGAAATATGAGTGACTTTTCGTTTACAGTATATTAACCTGCAGCCACGTCTTCGTGTCGTAATGTATGCAACCTTATTATGACAATTTATGACATGGTCGTGGGATGCTTATAATCATACTATTATTCGATGAAATTAGAAGTACTGAAATTATCAATATTATTTAATATGCAATAGATCATATTTAATTAATATTATCATAATTACGTACTGGATATTTTACAACAATCTGCCCGATTACATGAAATAGCACGAGCATAAAGCGATCTATAATTTTGTATTGCAAAATCCAAAATCGACGTTTGTGGACGATTTCACAATATCCAAATTGTAACGGACTTCATAAAACGTCCACTACTCATGCGTCAGTCCTAACTAATTCAAACAGGACAAAATATTATGTGTTTTAATTAGCATGACATGTTAGAAAATAGACATAGAAGAAATTAGAGGATTGGGCAACAATACCATTATTAGTAACAACAGCTCTAGCAGCTGCGTATTTAGGAATTATTGTAGGGAGGGGATGAGCCATCGAATGGCATGCAAACACGTATGTAATTTACCCCCCTTTGAGGTTTCCAAAACTTACTCACTAACTGCTGTACAGTTTACACACCACAAATATTTATTTTTACTATAATAAAATTAGAACATCTAACAATATAAATTATTATTAGAACTTATAATAAAAAAATCAAGTTTTCTTTGTTTAGCTGCCAGATCATCAATTACTTCATCAATATTTATGTCTATTGTCCAAAGAACTGATAAAAGTGTTAGTCTATTAAGACGTTTCTAAGGACAATAAAAATAATTAATAATGTATAAGATAACAATAAAACATTATATAACTTTTTATAATACTGTAAAGTAATATTAGAAAAACCTCTTTCATTGGATTTCTGCAGTATGATTTTAATCATCTTAATGTGGAAAAGCTCTGTTCAGGTGTTACTGTAAAAACAGGCAAAGTAGCTAATATTTTAAACAAAAAATGGATGTTTGGGTAAATATGTTTATAGCCGTTTACATAGTTTAAATAATATTACTTAGCTACCTATAGAAAATACTACCTTAAGTTTTCTCTCATCAGTTAATGATTTTTACTAAATAAAAAATATCATCTACACAAATCGCAGAATTTTTTACCAAATCAAACAGTTTTTTATTTTATTTTATTAATAAAGTGTTACTGACATCAAGGTCATCTAATTTATTGATATAAGAATTTTTTTTTTTACATGCGATAGTTGTTAAAAATAAATAAATAATAAATACAATAAATACAGTAATTTACATAGATAGAATAATAAAATATGACATCGTAATAATTAGTTTATCTAGGTGTGTGGTTATTTTTTTTTTATATATATTATTGGTGTTGAGAAAGGGCATCATGAGGACGTCCGCGCTTGAGACGTCGGAAGGTAGGCTTGTCGTTGAGTTTGAAATATTTTTCACTTTTGGCGTTGTTTAGCTGGCCAAAGAAATTGACTGAGAGATTCTGTATGTAGGATTTAACCATCGGGAGTCTGAAGTCTGTACGGAGTGCTTCGTTTCTAACGAACAACGGCGCGTTGGATATCATGCGTAAAATCTTAGACTGGAAGACTCAAATCAAATAGTAAAACATATTATATATGTATATACAATTTATAACCCTGCTGGTGCATCGAGCGAGGCCCGCATATAGAGCAGCATGATAGAATAAAAATCTCACGAAATTCGCCGCCAAGCTATGACATAGCGGAGTTTTAATGGATATTAATAACATTTTAATTGGCGTTTTTTTATATTTACAAAAATGAAAAGTACATTTAGATAGTAAAAAATAAACGCGATTTAGTGTCTAGGTATATGTACTCCAATCATTTAACAATAGGAAAAAAAGACCATGGGGGGGGGGGTTGATCTCTCAAATCCCCCCTCCCCATAAATACGCCGTTCAACTATAGCGATTATAAAAATATAATATTGAATATCTATTTGTTTGTCATTTCGTTTTCAGTATCCCCGACAGACTTCGTCACTAGTGTTCCCGGCTCAAAGCAAACGGATCCGAACACAAGAGAAAATCATTACAGGTAAAGCGTTAATAATTATATTATAATGTGTACATTGTAGAATTATTTACATAATCTTACAACCGTGGTCGTTTGGGGGATGTGTTCACGAGGAATCGAGAAGGGGATGATAATGTTTATGTACCTATATTGATGATGATGATGATGATTTTACGATCGTATGTTTATCATCATGACCACGGCGATGGTTGATAACGTGTTTGTGTTTCCTTATATATAGACTGTATGACCGTGTGGTCCGAAGAGGGCCACCTGTACTACAAATCGCCGACCAACGATCCGACCGTGTGCGGCATTTACATAGTAGCGAAACCCGAGCAGACGGTCCAAGTTTACTTCGATTACGTAGACGTACCCTGCAATACCGGCGGTTTAATAGCGGTAAGTGCCTGCGCGTAAGTGCACGCCGTTAAGTACGACGTAAATATAGTAATACTAATTACTTAGGTATATATGCATGCCTAAATAATATGTATTTATTTACGTCATATACCAGAAGGCAAAAATGTTTATTCATGATCGTGTTGTATACAAATAACCCAACGCCCAGACACGATAGCAGTACCATAATCATTATTATAAATATCGTAATATCATATTATTATAATTTATAACAATATTGAGTATGTGATGCGAACAAATCGATTAATAACATATCAATAATATTTATCATTAAATCTTGCCATTCTACATCTGCAGCTGATATCTATCGACGTCCACTGATACTTTTAAATAAACTCTCAGTGTAGCACCGTGGTAGCCAACGTCTGGTAATAAACCTACTAATCAGCCGCAACATCGATTGCATATGGTTACCACCTGCTAGAGTGTTGAAACAACGAAATTTGTTATATTATACAATATAAAAAGTGGAGACATTAATTATTGCATATAATATTTAATATTTATACAGCGTATATATTGAATATTGAGGTGTGTAAAATGTAATGTTAGTAATGGACAACTACCTTCATCCCTACCGTATATACAAAAGCCCCCCATAAATATTTATAAGTGATTGGACGAAACTCTCAACCCAGTCAACCCCCATTAATTAGATTTAAACTGTTTTACATTAAAAAAATATTACTTCTGAATAATTCAAATACATCGGTTGCGTATTCAGTGTTTTAAATAAAATGCGTGAGTGTTTAAATACATGTAATATAAATTACGTTGATAGTCAAATTTACATTTAAATTTATTTTGTATACAATTTTTTTTCTATAATTTTGTGGAATATCGTTAAGATCATTTTCATAGTCACAGTAATACGGTACACAAATCATTTTCTAATAAAAATGTGTGAATAAATCAATATAAAATAACTTTACACAAATTAAGACCTACCTACGTAATTTATTTTTCAAAAGTCGTTGTAATAAATTTTTATAATCCAACACAAGTGTGATAATTATATTTAGTTTAATATTTAATAATGTTATTTTTAATGACCTACAAGGCTGAATTTTTAATGTTAAATTAAGTTAACGCTTATGTTTAGGGTATCCGATTCGTTAGATAACATTATGAACAAAAGTGTAATTAAAGTAATATACAAAATATACTTTATGGTATTCAATTAATCATATTTTATAAAATCTCTTAATATCAACATCTCAAACTTGAGAGCTCTAATCATCCAGAAACTATATGATGGAAAACCTCAAAGTCGCTTTTACAATAATTATTTTAATAATACATCAATGAGTTCAATAAAACTTAAGATTCAAGATTAAAATATCACTCCGACACTGATGACACTCATATAATAGGTATATTAATTATTGAGTATTTTATCATTCTATAATAATAAAATTATTGTCTAATATTATAGCCTCATAATATAACTGATATACAGGCTGATTTACAATGCCCGATCGCCATTTATGTATGGAAATAATATATTTAGTATTGTATATCTGCCTAATAAACTTGGACATATTTTATAAATTATAAAATATTTATTACATATATTATGATACTACAATCAACATAGGCCCTGTAAATTATTAGTCTATTATCACATCTTAGTAGTTAGTAGTCACAGAATGAACTCACTAGCCCAACATCCATTAGTCAGACAACCTCAGTAATTCGACACTTTTTTCTCTTCATCTTTCTCATATACAAGAAGTGCCATTTGTGAATTTGACTTTATAACATGCCCGATATTATGGTTTAGAAATAAAAATTACAAACTAAAATAAACCAAACCGTTATATGTATAAATAACCATAAAATTAAATATACGATAGTATATTATACAAGCAAACATTTTTTCATTAATAATACGTTGTTTATTTTTTTCGTCATACACTCAATAATCTGACTAACTATCTCAATCCGATAACCCCGGGTCCTACATAATTTAGACTACACAAAGTTATACAGTACTTCAAATGTAATATCTGACTCAAAAGTAACTCAATCGAATCATGTTCAATCATATTAATGAAAATCTTCAGATTTACAACTAATAGTAAAAATCATGGTTCTCGTTTAAAAATATAAATTTGATCACTGAAAACCTTTTCAATGGCATCAACAAATTGAAGTATTAGAAAATTTTTAAGTAGGTTACTGCATAAATTCAGAAATTAAAGTTTAAATAAATGTATAATTAAATAGGAAAAAAGCGGAAAAGTAAGTACCGCTCTGTTGCACAGTATACCATGTCATCGAGTAGATTACCGAAATTCACTGTTTCTTTTTTTTTCATTTATTAAGAAGAGCAATTGTAATTTTTACCAGTAGAAAATTGAAGCAGTAAATGACACAAAATAAAAATTTTTAAAAACACATCATTCTAGTATCAATACATTCGTTGTTCCGCACATTTCTGGGTGAGCCATATATTTGTGGATCACTCTGTATACATAACATATTATGTATTCTAATATTGAGACATAAATAGATATGTTAGTGAATATTAATTGTTTACAGTCTATTTTAAATAAATAGAATACTGACCGATATTGTTAATTTTTTTTCCTATGAAAGGGTCATTTAATTAGAAATTACTTGAACTTTTTCAATTTCCAACCCCGACAACCTATGTACTTAAATAGTTAAATATAAAATTGACATTTACGAAAAAATATTAATTTTTTTACATAATATATGTGAATAATGTAAATTATCAGAGACACAATATGCATATATTTATTATAATGTGTATTAATATTGATTATTTGGGTTTAAAAAGTTACAAATACAACCAATTTACTTTTAAAAATATTTTCATCTTGAATATTAATAATAACTGAACGATATATGCAATTTTTAATATTATTGTGTAAATATGACTTCATAGACTACTTATTTATAATCAATTATTCCATCTCTCATAAATTTCTTGCACATAAGAACGTAAATACCAGCCCTTTTAATTATATTTGACATATCGTCTAATGACATATTGTATTCCCCAAACAATAGTTTTAATATATTTTCAGGTGACTGCCTTGACGAACGACTCACACGGGCAGCTCACATAAAACCAAAATGAAGTGCAGCTAAATATCATACATTTGTATCATTTAGTTCCTACATCTAATCATTATTCTGTTGTGTTATTATCAATGCTTTCTGGTTATTATATGTTAGTAAGCTCACTTAGATCTGAAGAATCTGAAAATTCCTGCATTAGCTTCATACTCAGTATTACAAACAATTTCATAACAACACTTAATTTTAATCGTTTTAACCATGCTTCCATCACTCTCACATCTCGTCGGCTTAAATGTACATGGCATAGAGATTGTTTTAATATTAATACATCCATCATCCCTGAATAACCCTTTCAGTTAATTTTGGTACTAACTACTAGGCAACTTTTAAGATTAAAAAAAACGGTGGTCCAAAAAGGTTAGGTTAAAGATGAACTGGAGTACTGAACAAATAAATATATTCTAAAAGAAATGTTGTAAGTATAGTACCATCGATGGATGAACATTCTTCTCACTTAGTCCGCCCCGTCTTGGTATCTTTCTTATTTATATTACCTACTTTTTGCGTTAATTTTATACGGATTATAATAATTTATATTCTAATATATAAAGAGAAGAAATAAATACAGTGTATTGATTAAATGGTTATCAGAAATTTCAAAAACCAGAACACCTCCTCATAACATATTCATCATTATAATATATATTTTTATCATAATTGTATGAAAAAGCATAGTGAGCATTTCACATAGATATATGAATTTAAATTTTGATTTTGAACAGGAGCTAGAAAGCTATTATAGTGATTGCTTTATTTTGGGAATAACCTTTTTGATCATTAAATGGGCTATAAACCATTCATGTATATTCATCACTTTTATTTATTTTTAATTGGACTCACAAACGTTTTATAAACGCGTAGAATGTTGAAAATAGTATATTTACGGTTTATTTATTTTTTTGTATAAAATATATAAACCATTAAAACAACTCGGTTCAGAATCAATGTCAAAATATATACCTAAGTATTTTATAATAACTTATGATTGATGTACAAAAGCGATGACACACTCTGCCCATGGCCCAAGTGGACGTGTATGTTCAAAAATAGGATTGTTTGCTTGAAAAGTATCAGGTTCATAAGATAATGGTTTGTTTTTGTTTTATAAAAGTTATTTGTGTCTCTATGTAAAATGTCATTCAACCATTGAATTCCTTCTTACGTAATACGTTTATTAGGTACCTTCATACAATTCAATATATTATGATTAGTAATATATAATAATAAAACAATAGAAATCGAACCCTTATTTTAGAAAATTATGTTTTCATATAACTAATTTACCTGACATACCCTAGCGGGTAGGGCCTAAGCCCATCCACTTATTCGGTTAAACCTAAAACAAATATAATATTATAATATATTATTAACTTAATACAATTTACTGATCGTTTTTAATTCAAGCTACATCGTTGTTTAAAAAATATTAAATATGTTGTACACATAATGTAAGTTAATTGAGAACAAATCCCGCATAATTTATGTCCATGCATCTGAATATAATTATGTTTAGCAAATAGGTGTTTAATTTGTAATTATATGATCTATATTACACCAGGGTATTTATTGTAAATCACCACAGAAATATCATATCTACATTGGTATAATTACTATTTAGTCGGTATACTTTCCCATTACAATTTGTATTCCACTTAATATACAGTGTTCCCCTATCACTGTTCAGTAAATACTCCTACATATGGGCACTGCTGTACTGAAACAATATCTTAGTTAAAAATCGTCTCAAAATGTTTCGGTTCGACGTATGGTGGCAGCCATATTGCGATACATTATTATGTGCCCTAGGCTGTATCAAGAGCCCCTGAAGGGTTTTGTAATCGAAAACTCAAATTAGATTTAAATAGTCATACACTCGTATATAAATCAACCACATAAATCCTGTATCTACATAAACGGTGGTCATGCATGGACTGGATTGTTCGTTGTACTTTTTCTTTGTTCTATTTTAAACTAAGTAAATGTTGGTATTTTAATATGATTATTTAAAATGTAATACCTCATTGCCTGTAATAAAATCGTACAACCTACCATTTATTTCCGAGTGCCCATAGTCTATGGCGTATACTATATTAAACCTTCGTCTTTGTGTATAGTTTGTGGACGGATGGGAACTCAACGGACAGCTGTTTCCCAACGAACAAGATCATCCAAAACAGATGAACGATCGTTTCTTCGAGATGTGCGGAACAAAAAAACACAAACAGATATTGCAATCGTCACAGAATGCTGCTTTGATACAATACCGAGTTCCGCGTAGAGGCAATGGATTCAGCTTTTATGTTTCGTTCATCGATAACCCTACCCGTAAGTATAATAATAATAATAATAATTAAAAATATTTTGTAAGGTAATTTTTTCTTTATGGTGGAACCCGGTGGTTATACTAAAATCGGATAAGAATATTAAAAAATGTGTCTGGAAGATTTTATTTAATTTTTTTGCTTTTGAGAGTAAAATTAATAATTCTATTATGAAAATATATTGATTTTAAAATGATTTTGTGAGGGGTTTTTTTTTTTTAATTTTTGCGCCGTATTATAAGAAAAAAACCTAAAAACAGTTGACTTGTGTAGGTGTAGTGTTTGCAGGACGCGATAATGAATGCACACGGTCACAAAACTAATCCTTTATGATAATTATATATTAAAGGTATTTATATTTTGAGAAATTTTTAATTCAATTTGTTACGTGACATTTAATGAGTAATGATCGTTATCATAATTTAATAATTATAAACAACACAATTTGACGATAAGACGAAAAGATTTTGTTTTCATCTCGTGCAGGCAAATGTACATTTTTAGTCGCTTATAATAAAAGATAAAATATTATTATTATTATTTATACTAACTCAATCAAATTTGTCAGTAAGTAAAATTCATCGAGTGTACGTATTAGCTATTATGAAAAATATTAATAAATTATACATTTTAATTAATAATATGAGTTTATGGAACCAAACTTCGTATAGCATATACAATAATTATAATATTATTTATTATTGATAGATATTATAATATAAATATGAACTAATTTTTAAATTGACTTAGGTACTATAATTGCATATATTTTTTATAGACATTTCAATATTCAATATTGAACAGAGTATTTTATCTCGTAAAGTCGCATCTTCGTGTTTTTTGTATAAATTTAAAAAAAAATGAGATCCAACCTTTATAGTCAACATATTTTGTAATAAACATGTTAATATTTTATTGAAAAAATGAAATTAATGAAATTAATGAATGCTTGATTGACTCTTATTAAAAAAGTGCCTTACAGTGAATTATGACAAAATAACTAAACAATACAATATCCCTGTAATTTTATATTAATAAGCTTATAAAATATTCAATTTGTTCAATTTGCTTATTTATTTATCAGTAGGTTTCCTATCATATCCTACTATAAGAATATAAAAAAGAAAACGTATAATTCTTACTACAGTTGCAATACATAAATTCAAAAGGTAAAACCTACAGAATTACAAAAATAATTATTTAAATATATTTTTTAGAATAATAGTCGTTCGTCATTTTATTTATTTGTTCGTATGCCAGTTGTTACTTGTCCGTAATGAATTCAAGTAATGTAAAAAAACGTTAATACTTAATGAGATGATGAGTGTTTGATGTTAATTAATCATCCAAACATAAACTATACACGGTGTATAGCATAGACGTGTTCAGACTTCGGTGGGCGAGGGGGCACAACAAATTTCTTAATTGTGAGACCTATTTTTTTTTAAACCTAAGAAACATTCAATTTTTTATGATACAAAATTTACAATGGAAGGAATATATTTTTATTATGATCAAAAAGTATAACCATTGTCAAAACAATAAAAATACATTTAAAACTAAATTGAAAACAGATACATAATAAAGAAAAATTTATCCTGACATGATGTTGAGACTGCCGGAGGGGTCAGTGCCTTACCCGGCCCCTCCCTTAAGCAAGCCTATGGTGTATTATTATCTCGAAATGAAAATTGTGTTTTTGACACAGTCAAAACATATTTAATTTTTAGAGGTAGGTCGATTGCCCCAAGCTATATTTGTAGGGGGGGGGGGGGGTCAATTTCATATATGAGTGAGAGTTAATAAATATTAATATAGTATAATATTATTCAACCTTCAATATTATAAGAGCTTATTTGAAACTATTTGAAAAATCGTTTTAATTAATTTCCATTACATTGAACTCATTTAAATTCAATTATTTCAATACTTCTTTATAAATATTATGAACGGACTATATTTTATTTGTTTGATTGATTAGTTCAATATATTAAGGTATACTGTACACTTGTACCTATGTGGATACGTTTAAAAATATTTTTTTATGAAAAAAAAAGTAGTACATATTATTATATAAAGAATTTGACAGTGAAAAAAAAATTAGCACCGACGAGAGAAAATTCCAAGTATGCCTCTGGTCACAATGACATGTAACTTGGATTCGTAAGACTGGTCACTATAAATACGAAACTCTATTCTTTCGTACATGGGTCACGGTCTCTGACGATGTTCGCAAAACACATAATATTATGATATACGATTTCACCGACCCCAAAACACAACCCCGGCAATACGGTACAAACCGCGTGCGCAGTTCAAATTGTTACCGTCTGCAGTTGGGTACTATACATACACACGATATTATATATTATATAAACTCGTATCTAACCCTTTCGAATTACCTATATAATGTACATGTACGTACGAGCACGTATATATTGCGCCGTTATCAAATTATATTCCATTTGTAAAATTTGGTTAAGCTCGCGCTGCCCCGTCGAATTACGGTCGGCATAATTTAATGGCAATACACGGACGTGCGTCGTTTGCCCGCGATTACGATACGATTATAATTCTCACGCCGGCTGAATACGAATAAGTACAATAATTATTGGCGAGTCTGCTGCAGCGGTTCTCAATAATTTCCGTACGACCCACGAGTTTTGTATTTTTTTAATCGGACAAGCACACACAACGCGTATGGTCGCCAAATAAATACAATTCACGTCATCTGTTGCAGCAGCGAATAATAATATTCATCCGATCGCGACGACCGGAAAGAAAAAATAAACATTCGCATTGCCCGCCAAATGGAGTGCGATTTTTGTGATATAAGTAAGAAAACGAGATACCTATAAAATTACCTGCGGAATGCACGGAGCAACTGAAATGTGTGTTGATTTTTAATCGAATCTACGATATTTATTCACAGTTTGTTAGGTATTAATAATATTATTACCTTCATAATTGTCTATCATCATTTGTTTTGTATAATATAATATTATAGAGAACTACTATATTTACGATTATGACAACACTTTTTAGAATCGTGTATTGTGTATTTTGCTTTCCTTGGTTTTGATTTATTTAAATGTGTATTCATTTATAATGTGTTTATTAATTGTGTATAAACTTTAAATACCTACGTCTTAATTTTTGTGCGAAAATGGTTCTGAAACATTAAAAGTAACCATGTGCACATTATATACGTGTACATTTATATATATATATATACATACAAGTACCTATTCGTACTTAAAAACAAATAATCAAACTTCAATAATTATTCCATTTTTAATGAGTTGCGTGGAGTCAAAACGAATACGCAAATACGATTTAAACTTGACACTGCATAGGTATTATAATTTATATACATTCAAATGAAAATCCTTTTAATATTTAATCCTTTATTATTTTTTAAATTAATTTTCACAACGGTTCAGTACATTTCTGTACAAGACTCAAAATATTTTACCGAATGCGTGTCTGCAGAAGTACAACTTAAAAACTTATGTCCCAATAAATAAATTTGCATTATCGATTAGACTTTCCTATTATACCTACGTTATTGTATGACATGCCCCGGTGGACAATTATTCGTCCAAGCGAGTATTTATATTATTATTGTATTAGCCTCCTCATAAGAGTATTTCTCGCTTGATATTCTACATTAATATTAAAACAACAATATGATGATACCTTTTACATGTACCTATAGATTATTCAAGTATCTGAGGGATATTCAAATAAAAGTGTTTTGATTCTCGAATAGTCAATGGGTAAGGTTTAAAAACCGTATATAAATTTATACTCTATAATTTACATATCATATACATGTTTTGTAACATGTATAAGTAATGAAATCATATAATTGTGTTTAGTAATATATTATGTTACCTTGATACGTAATACGAAGAAAAATAAACAATACATAAATGTTAATTAACGAATGAGTGAACATCTGAGGTTAATAATGTTATCTCAGAGTCAACAAAAAAAAAACTGAAAAATTAAAAAATACAATTTCGTGAAGTACCTACCTAAATAAGGTAGGTGGAACTTACATAGAATTATTAAATAAATGATGAAATCATTTGATTAAAGCAGATGATCAGTCGACTGAAAAACACGATCTGGGATGTATATAAAAATAGATTAAAAATGAAGTGAATGACATGATCAGCGAACAGTCAAATAAAATTATATTTTTCCATAGCGAAGTATAAAATCATAAATGCATTAAAATATATTGAAATATGACCAATAGGTTACCTATATATAGACATTGATTGAATAAAAAATAAATGTATAAATAATTGTGTCAAAAAGTCAAAAAAAAAGAAGTAACATGATTTCAATCACATTATTTTATATTTCGCTTCTTCGTATCATCAAAAAAATTTCAACTTACCGGCTCAGCTATAATATATTTCTCGAAATTTATAAAAAAATGTACAACACAATTTCTAGAATTAATCCGTTTCCTGGTTATAAGTTAAACGATTAAATTGTCAATAATTCGTGTGACATTCAAATAATGATTATACGCAGAATAATATATTATGGTGTTCATATATTTCAACAGTGTTCTTGGATATCACACGCAGGTAAAACGCATCAGTTCGAAATTAAAAATTAATTATTTTCTTGCTTTCCCTCTAAGCCATGGGATCACTATGCTCGAATGAAGTATGACGCAAACACTGGATTATTAATATTTTCTTCATGGTAAACATCCTGATCTCTGGAGGAACTATGCTCTACAACGGGCAAAGATAATGTAAACTCGATCTATGTTGTGTACACGTATTTATGTGTATATGTGATATACGTAAATTATAATATATATACTATATAGTTATCAAAAACATTCGTGGTTATTGGTTAAGACGTGTCGCGATGGATCAACTAAGTTTGGTGTTTGAAAAAGATGTCTACACGCTCGGTGAAAAGTAATGCAATTTCCTGTTTGGCCATAGTCAATTATAGAAGACTTTGTCTCGTCAATTGCAAAAATAAAAACAAAAAGAACAAAAACTATTTTTTTTTTTTTTAATACAGAACTCGCCGACCTGTTCAACAACAACCAACAATTGATCACGTTAACTCACAAACACACTCGAAAACTCTTATTATATTACAATATATTATATGAGGGAAATGTGCAGTAGAATACAACTACTGTGCTTGTACACGCACGTACCGGAATTTAATTAAGCTACAAATTTTATTTCATTACGATAAATTCAATTTTATTTGTAATAATACATTAGTTTGTACGTGCATATTAGTTATTATAGTATCTAACGATATTTTCAATTATGGTGCAATCAATGCACGTTAATGGTCGTTTTTATAATCATGTTTTTTTTACCGAGACTACACTGGTGATGAATCTTCAAATTTTAAGTTGCTTATAAAATGTCTTTCTTAAATAAATTAATATTTAAATTTGAATTTATACAGAATGTTCTGTTAAATTTATTATGCGTGCAAGGTTGACATAATACCACGTCATTACAATAAATATAGTGCGTAATATAGGGTTGAAATTTATTATTATGGTAAAGCGTTATGTAGGAAGTAGTAATTTATGCAAATACCAAAATGCTCAATAATTACGCATTTGTCTTTTTAAAATATATATATTTGACACTCTAAAATTCATCGATGACTTAGAATCTCGTCTCAAAAAAAAAATTACACTCCATTCGAGTATTTTATTCAAATTTAATAGTGATTTTGACTACAAAAGCTATTGTTATCATTACTGTGATTATCGGTGTTGGTCGTTGTAGCTTGCAACATACTTTTGGCTGACATTACCGAAGTGTACACTCTGAGGAATTACGGAAAACCAGTGAACTGCAGTCTTACGATGTTGTATCCGGCTCAGGTGAAAATCTTGGCGTTGGGCGTCGGCCTTGGACACGAACAGAAGAGGACACTAACGGAACGCGAGACCGGCACGATCCACAAGGTATATAATATGTATTATAATGTAATCCTCATCATGCCTAACTATAATACGACTCGTCCACACGTGTGTACTGTTATATAACTTCTAGACGTTTTTAGTACTACAGGGGCAAACTCGACAACAATATAAACGCGTATATAATATTATGCGCAATAATATAATATAATTATAATAACATGTCATATAATTATAGTATAATAACGCGTATTACTGTGACTCGTGACGATATTAAAATTAACAGTGTGACAAACGAGGGCTGCCGGATTTCGTTCAAGTCGGTGGTGGAGACGGTTTGGCCCAGTTGTCTATGGTCGATTCGATTTGCGGCACGAACTCGGAACCAGGTTAGTAAAACGACACAACTTATTATCATTATGCCTACTTTAAATTATTAAATAGCGATAGATATATTTTATTTCAACGAAAGGACGGATTATAACACTGGAATCGATTAGATGTATATTCGTAATGTATAACGAAAAAAAACAAAACGTATGCATATATTTTTATCGTAGACTTGTCGGTTGTAATTTTCAACCGAACCATGCCGATGATAGGTATTATTTAATTAGTAGGGGATCATAGGTACAATTAAGGTAAACATTCCAAGGGAGGGTTTGCACACTGCACAGTCTTAAGAAAATACCTATATGAACTTTATAATGAGATCAACTGAATATTTTATGCAAAACAAATTCCAGCGATCCTTTAAAACTGTGATCAATTAAAGAAAAACAAAATAATACTGAGAGGACGGAAAAGAAAGTATCGTACAACGATTTCGCAATCTACGCTTACGCGTACCGAAATTGCCTATCCGAGGAGCCGTGTCAGAACTCAACGATTCCTATAGCAATTATTTATAATTATTATAAAATAAATAATAACGCGAGTACTGTGAATCGCTTTTTTTTTCACAGAAAACGCTGTGGAGACAATTATGTGTGGCGTTACCACTGTGAGACTTGTATCGAGTGGACAATTTCACAACGCCGTCACAGTGGCCGTGACAACACCCGACGTCGAAGCTACGCCGTCATTAGTGTGCGAGCAGTAGAAGAAGTCGAGTAACAAATAAACAAAAAAAAAAAAACTAACTCAGAAATCCCTCCCCTCCGATAAAATATAAAATAAAAATCATAATGATCAGTCATTTGTTTTCGCCTTCATACTATCATGTTTTCAATGTCCGATAGGAAATATTACGAAACGCGTAATATAGGTAATAATAATATTAGAGATCAAAATTCGAAAATTATATAAAGCATTTTTTTTCTTTGTTCGTTTTGTATATTCGTACTTAATATATGCATACACACATAAAATACATACATCAATACATATATACATACAGCGGCGTGGTACTAACAGTCTGATGATATCTATTCCTACATAATACTTAAACATCATAATCTTTTATTAGTACTTTACATAGTGTGTATTCTAAACGGTCATCTTGGTCTTCCATCACGACCGATCATCTTGGTAGGTGCTATCCAAATTCATGTTCTTTTTTTGCCACGCCACTACTGAAAACCTACTTACAAAACCTGATAATAATAAATTGTAATACTGTACTCACGCGAAGATAAGCTCTCGATAATAGCTAATAATTGATTGATTGATTGTTAATAGCGCATAATATATGTTTAATAATTTCATATTATGTTTAATTCAATATTATGTAATATTATTATTGATAATATCGACTTAATCTTGTATATTGTGTACTTAAAATAATTATATCGTAATATATGTACACAATGATGCGGGACCGGGAATTAAATGTAATCATATATACAGTTATCTATTTTGGGATAGTCAAACTGCACTCCCTATCCAAACCAAAATGTTCAAATTGCACTCGAATTCCGAAAATGGTAATATTTGAACTGCACTTGACTCGACCATTATGTAGAAGTAGAAAATATTATACACATTAGTTTCAGTTGTGTGTCGATCGATGCCACTTAATAAACGTGAAATGTAAGATAGAACTCAATATTCTCTATTTTTAAAACAAAATTAATTTCCGAATACTAGCCATTTAATATCGTTATTTTTAAATTGTAACTTTAAGTGTTGTATTCAATAAAAATAATAACTTTTAGATAAATAAATAAAATTTATTCTTTCATTGACTGATCATTAGTAAATAAGTATTTTATAATAATCATAACGAGTGTAATTTGAACATAACCTTTTTTAACCCGATTGCAATTCGCCTATTACGCTTAACTGGCACAAGTGCAATTTCACCTAATCCATATCGAGCAATCGAGCTGACCAGTTTTAAAAATATCCCTTACCAATATATTTCAGAAATTGTTTATAAAAATAAAGTTTGAATCTAATACATGTCGTACATGATTTTCAACAATAATAAATCTCATCAGTCATCATTCTATTCAATTGTTTTTTGTTCAGTTGTATATCAGGTTATTATTCTGAAAAGATACATGTTTTTTACGTTTCACAGACTCAACCCAATCTATTTATATTCTTTCGATTGGATTTTTTTCAGATGTTAATCTAGTCTACCACTTATTAAAGTGAAAAGTTGAAAATATGGGAAGTAGGTAAACACTTCGCTGTACAGTAGGTGTCGAGTATACCTTGTTATTAAGTGTATCTGTATGTATGTGTTAAATTTGAATTTAATAAATAATTAAATAAAGTAATAAATCATTGGATACAAAAACCATTCTGAGCGATGTTCTGGCTTTTCAGCATATATATTACTAAGTTTATTTTTATGTTTATATTTTAGGTATTTATATTGCTATCATAGTAACCTAACCTAACTTTTAGTTATACGGTAAGTTAAATTAATTTTAGCCAGAAAAATTGTATTTATTATATTAAAATGTTAGTATTTAATTACTATGAATTATGACAGTGTATATTTATATCATATAATATTATTGTTATTAACTTTTTAGTCAATACCGACCTACAACAGAGCAGTGTGAGTAGGCTTGTGGTATAAATAGGCAATAGAATAAAATTAATCCAAATGTTTTGAAAATTTCATTATGCATATATTATATAACAAATAATAATATACTTAAAATTTTAAAATTCTCACGAATACTATTTTGAAAAAACAAAAAAATAATTTGTTAATTTTTGTGATTTTCACGACTTATTACAACATTTTGAGTTCAGTCCTAAAAAAAATCGTTTCTTCAATAACTAAGTTATTAAAAATTTTCATAATATTTTTTATGTATTTGTGATAACTATTGAAAAATATTCTATGTCTAGAATTCAGAATATATTTGCATACCATATTTATTCCAAGTCCTGCTAGATCAACGGACCTTTGACACATAGGTACTTCACAAAAACATCTTTCAGATACAGCAGTAGCCCTTTTATATGCCTACTCTTCAGTTTCAGCCATCAGTCTTTGGTGATCTTATCTATGAGTAATGTTAATAATTCTCAGAAATAGTCCTTATCACCTTTTTATAAATGTATCACATTAAGAAATCTATTTTCGTCAAATATTTACGACTTTGGGTTTACTAGTTACATAGTAGAAAGATAATATACATTTAAATAAATTCGATATATATAAAAATTAAAAACTAATTATTTATTCATTTATTCATTTATTATAATATTTTACCAAATTTTACATTTTTTTAACGGATTCATGGGAGACCCAATTGGACATCGAAAGGCTTTGGCAAATTCGTTAGAATTCGATAAGGTTCCTAATACTCGAATTTTACCCGGGCTATGGACGTCAGTCAATAAATCGTTTAATAATGTCTGTTCAGTTGTAGATTCACACCATATCTGTAAATTTTAAATTCAATTTTAAACTTAAATAACTATTCAAGTAAAATTAAATTATATTAAACTAATGGATGCAACACTGCGTACAATCTTTAAGCCAACAGAACTGATACCATTGTTAAATGTAACATCGTTTCATCTCATTACCCTCTCGCTTAAAATATGTAAGTTTGTTTACCGCTCAGAAGATTCAGAGAGAAACAACGTTCTCTTTCTGTTATGTTAGCTTAAAAGTATATATTTAGTTTATTTAGTGGAGGAAGGAATTCCGTATCCATATGTTTAATATTGTTGGAGAAGGGTGACATCTTACACTGGCGAATCCTACGAAAAACAATTGTTCGGGTGACAAATCCTCTAATCCGGGTAGTCGGTTTTCTGCTCCATGTTTCGATACGTATTTTTGATATGCCATGTAAGCATGACTTAAACCGCCTATATCTGCTATGTTTTCATTTTGAGTCATTTGGCCATTTATCTAAAAAAAGCGACATTTTTCATCATATTTTAGTTTATATTTATAATAATTAGTTCAACCTACAATAAATTCGTAGGCATTTCGCATTTTGATAATATAATATAAAAAAAAACCAAAAAGATCTCATAACATAAAGTGTAATATAATACACTGCTAAAAAATGAACTATAGTCTATAATAATAATTAGTTAGAGTTGGAAATATCACTCTATACCTTAACTTGATTACCCAGAACAGTCAAACTATAATTATTATACTGTTGGACGAAACATTCAGCTTTTATTGAAAACGTCTCCATTGTTTCTTGAGTCCACCATTGTCGCCTATTGCCATGTTTGTCATACATTCTTCCTAATTAGAACAAAACAAAACTAAAATGTACAGTAAATTTATTTAAATTATAGAAAGTATACAAACCAGAATCGTCAAATGCATGCATTATTTCGTGTCCTACAACTAAGCCCACCATTCCATAATTTAAAGCTCTAAAATAATAAAAACAAAGCATTCATAATCATAAAAGAGTTCACCAGCGTATTACATTTAAAAATAAAAAGGTACTCACTGAATTCGACTTTTGTGATAAAACGGAAGTTGTAACATTCCGGCTGGCAAAACTGTGAACGAAACGAGTTTATTAAAAATATAAATAATTAGTAATTATATTTCTTAAGATATATTGTCCACACGATAGTGTAATACAATACGCCTCTATCATGAAAGATAACAAAATAGATGAAAACAGTAAGTCATAAAATAAAAAATTGTGCTTCTTCTCACCTCCTCAAATCTCAAAATATCATATACATTTTGACGGACATAATTTATCGTAGACACATAATTTCATTCAGTTAATTTTAATGTTACACAATATTATTTTGTCTAATCAATTAAACACTGTACCTATCATTACTACAAGTGATATTTCTGTATAGATTTAAATAAAATATGACGTATAATCTATAAGCATTCTATAAATCAAAGATACCTATAATATGCGGACTAATCTATAAAATGTAAATTTAACACTGACTTGAATGCAGTATCGTGCAGGTTGCACTCGCGTACAGCAAGACGATCGATTAGATTAATTGCGTGTAATATGTGCTCATGAATGAAATGTAAAAACAATCAATATAACTTCAAACAATAAATGTATAGTTTCTACTCTAAAACGCTTTTCAGCTCTCACAGGAATTACGCAACATACAGTATAATGTAATCCATTTTGTTCGCGTATATGAATAAGAAACTATTTAACATGATTTCTAAATCAACCGGACATTATAAAAAATAATTAGAATCCAATTATTATTTTTACCAATTGCGTTAGAGTAGATGTCGTTGTATCCATTTACACTAACTATATCCGTCGTCCATCTGTAAAACAAACATATTTATATATTATAACAACGTACAGTTATTATTATAAAATGCAAATAAAAGTCTTGATTGACATTTTCGCTTTCAATAAAATCACTCGTCGCAACAACTGAATAAGTATTATATATTTTGTACACTAATTTATTATTGTCCTATGGGTAGTATTTACCAATTAACTGGTGCAGTAGGTATGATATCTTATGTCTAAGTTTTAATAAATGTATTATACCTAAGTTATAAAATATCATTTATTATTATAGTTTGAATAATACGGTACAGCAACTTCAAAACCAAAAACTACCAAGTTTTCCAAACATAATAATGCTTACTCTGTATGATTGTGAATATTGTTTAATTTTGAAAGTTTTTTTAAGTTTGATTCAATTTGTAGAATCTCCAAGTTCATTAAATAACTTTCCGTCATATTTACCTAAAACAATAAGTATTCATTAAATATAATAATTACAAGTTTATAAACTGTTTTTTGTAATATTCCGATCATAATAATAATAATAATAATAATAATAATAATAATAATAATGATAAATCGTACATATCTGAAAGTTTGTGACATTTGTAGGTAAGCTATAATAATATCCGTTCTACCATATAAAACAAAAATTGTATTCGTTGTATTCATTTTATACGAACGATATAATTGTTATTGTCGTAGCCCAGGCTAAAATATTAATCAGGTATGTACTCGTTTAATTTATGCTTACAATTTTTAGTTTATTATGTGAATACGACGTGTCTTGGAACCAATCAGGGTATGCGATAAACTTGTGCATCGATTGTAATTTATCGATAGCGGATTGCCGAGTAATCGAATCCATCCAAGCTATGTTCTTTAATTGTTCCATGTAAGCTTCTTGAATGTTATTGACCATTTCTGTAGCCTGTACATTTCAATTAAAACGTGCAATTTAGACAGTATAATCACAATTAAAACTTGTATTCTGCAACGTGATCAAATCTAGTAGCTATATATTGTATTTTAACTTTAAAATCATGATGTCTCACCATGTCTTTCGTAGACTTGTCGAAATACTTGGTGATGTACTTATATCCAACATTGAACGCAAAATACGAGCTGGTAATTGACACGCAATCCAACCACCTACAGGACGTTGATTAACATAAATTAACGAATAACGAAGTAAGACGAGTTTATTATTAAGTACCTATTAACAAAAACGTTCCTGAACTTAATTTTTATATATCTAAGACTCAACCTTTACTTGTAAGAAGAAAAAATTGTATTAGACACTAAAATATTAAAATTCGTCGTTAATTGTTGATGCGTATTTCCAACTAATGGGTACGTTTATGATAGTAAATAATTGACTATCCATATTATGATATAATAATAAGTGGCACAGGCTGTGTGCACATGAATATTATAACTCATTCGAGATTCTAGTCAGGTGATTAAACATCTTTACTAGGTAATTAATATTTATGTTACCTAGAAACTTCTTTGACGTCCCCAGTGAACACCACATTAAAATCTTGAACAAGATTTTTCAAATCTTCTTTGATATCAGATAGCATGGATCTTAAAAAGCACCACGACATATAATTTACTGCAATAACAGAGAACTAAAGTATTAATACTTAATATGAAATTCCACAGTAAATTTATGACTGTGATATGAATGTAAAACGTACTTAAAATTCTTTTTGGCGTTTTTTCCAATAATCGTACCAAGTCTTTTAGATAGTGCTCTTCTTTTACAAATATCTTTTCAGTCTTTTTGAGATGTACATCAGTGCCTTTAAACAGTAGCCGAAACATTTTTAACCAATCGACCTGTTCAAAATATTATATAACACGTACACGATTTAAGCACATAAACATTTATAACAGACCAAATTTATTGTTTAATTGAGCTGGACCTGTTTCGCTCAGATATAAATTTCATAAAAATTTTGGTATTTTATGATTCCTGGAATATTTTAGATCGATTTCAAATAAAGTTAGCAATGATTGTTTTAAAACCTACAACTATTAGCTTTTGGGACAGCCAACACACGTGGTGAATAAATTATACATATCTACATTTTTTAATAAAGCTATATTTGAGTATATCATTTGGATCTTTTGATGTCCTTGGTATTTCAACTCTGATGATTTTGATATAAGTATCAGTTCGGACATAATTTCGCATACAATTCAACCAAAATTAATGTAGATGTAGAATTATAATAAAAATTGTCATTGAAGAGCAAATGCAGCGGCTCTTACGCATTTCTCGTGACTCGTAAGCATAATACTAATTGAATTGCATGTCCATGAACTAATAATAAATGTACTGTCCTCGAAATTACAATTGTTTATGAAATAATAATAATATTTTATACAAAATCTCGTCAGTTGGGCATTCCGGCATCAAATTATCAACAAAATAACATGACACTTCTTGGGGTTCTGAATATAATAAAACAAAAGTGTACTTTACGCCATTCTCTGATTTTTTTAATATTCAGTAGCTAAATACTAAACCATACTTCTGAATTTTCCGAAATCACGATTGTGTTATAAGTCAAAATGACATCTACCCCCCTTTAATAGAAGATAGAATTGATTTTCTATGATAAATTTGTAGGTTTAATTTTTTCTGGAGTTCGATAAATTATATTAAAATTAAAAATATTAAAGATAATGTACAACAATATTCGACTTAACCATTGCCAACTTAATTTTGAATTGATTTAAACTAAAACAAAATATTTGAGTGAAACGGATATCCGGATGAAATGGGGAATGTCATTTTTGGCAAAAAAATACCTGAAACGTATCCGATACACTGTTTATATCTTTTTGAAGTTCGTCTATTGTCATTACGCGATTCTTTAATGCCTTTTCACTTTTTTTCATTTCTCCGGTGCTTTGTATCTAGTAGTTTAACAGTAGACATAATATTACACAGTTTATATTTCCCGAAATGTTTTAAGCACCTACTTTGGCCAGTTGTGTTTCGAATTTAATTATTTCGCCGGCGATTTCGTCTCCGAAATATCTGCTTCTAGACAATTTAGAACCAAATTCTTCGTGCAACAAAAATACCGTACCAGCTATAAGTTTCGAATAAGCGTTCATTTGAGTCTTATACCGATCTGGATGCATGAACATTGATCTCGGTAGCATTAAGTCTGGCTGACCTATCTATACATCACAATACTATAAATTGGTACATATACCGATCAAAATTATTGCTAACATTCCACACCCATTTACCATTAGAATGTATTGACTGGTATTCAAATAATTAATAGAAATACCAGTATCTAAAATAGTTGACACTTTCCAGTTTTTTTCCATGTAAATATACATTTTCATCCAATCCAGAGATTGTAACTTGTCGCTATAGTCATTTTGTCCTATCGGCCATCCACCAAACAATGAGATAATCGATTTTAAGTATTCAATATTCATTCCGTTACTGACTATATGAACATTATTAAAATGTTTAATACAAATATCTCACGTTTGATAATAATTATTAAATTTACCAGAGTTTAAACAACTTTTGTAGAACTTTTGTGCTGGATCTAAAATTTTATCAGGATTCTCTTCTTCCAAAATTTCTAAAATATATGATTGTATAATTTATAGCTTAAAATTACAATAGGTATATCGTATATATATATATAGTTCACTTTATAGTTCAAACTCATAGTTGAATTGTATTCTAAATATTTATGTCATAATCATAAACAAAGTTTACATAGGTACACGTTTATTTGTACAGCCGTATTAGAAATAATAATGTACTAATTTTAACTTTCATAACATGTTATATGATTTTTTTCACATACCTTTTAAATTATTCGTTATACTTTTTTCTGCCTCTTTGTATTGATACCAAGATACTTTAGTGGCTTTAACTTGATGTTCTTTAACCCACAAACCACACGTAAACTCGTAAAAATCCTCACACGGATCTACTGATCTATTCATACTCTTCAACAGATATTCTATAACAATAGTGAATCATAATAAACAATTTTTTAAACCTTCGTAATATTTGTGCATCTTATTGGATTTTGGATTTTTTTTTTTTTAATTGTTACATAATATAGGTGATCATTATTTCCTGAGGGCCAAGTATATAAATTGCAATAACATATTTTCAGAGGAAAGATAACCTAAACAATAATAATATGTAGGCTAATTGCAGATGTGAAAGCCTTTATACTCAATAAAAATAATAATAGTAATATGTTATTATGTATAAAATATTAATACCGTTTCGATGACTTTACCTGCCGTTTGACATTGCATCGTTGAGCATTTTTGCTCTTTTGAATCATCTTCAATTGAAAATACATCTTTCAAAAAATCATTTGCAGACCGGCATTGTAACCTCTCAACGATCAAAAAAATTAAAAAAACTATTAACTTCATTTTAGTTGTTACTTCAAAATATATATATATTTGATTTAGAAGCTCTACATGTTAAATTGTATTGACTACTGTAGATTTTTATTTTATTTACGACGAAGCAAGTGGGTGTCTCTAACAGGAAATTGATATTGATATAGCTTAGTAGGACAATGTCCAGTGGTGTATATAAATATTGTGATAACGAACATTATTATTAGAGCAATGCTTTTTTTATATAATCAATTGTTTCTACTCATTAAGTAAATTTTGCAGTTATACGAATTAAAAACAAGTATTTTAATTTTGTCAAATTGAAAGATAAATTGTCCAACTTTATTGCGTCATAAAGTTAACCGACTAATTAATCTTAATTAATAATTAGGTACTAATAGTATAGTGGTGAGTCGATGGTTATTTACCGACAGAAGGTAATGATTCCATGAATTTATGTGCATTAATTTGTTTCTTCACCAAAGTTGGGATAAATATACCAATATAAACCAAACTAAGTTAAATTGTCAAAATTAGATAGTTAGCTATTAGAACATAGTTAAATATAACAGCAAAAGAATTACTATACCATATTAATAATACATTAAAATGTTTATTTTCAATCTTAAGACCTTGAATTATACTTCTATCATAAATGTTATTAAATATTGGCGAAATTGGTGGTAACAAGAAAAATTTGAACTTTATATCGTCAAGCACAGAAAATAGGATGAACATTTAATTTAATAAAAATTACAAAAGACGTATATAACAGTGTCATCTAGCGACGGACATCCGGATGTATCTCCACTCTCCAGATAACAACACCTGTTGAAATAGTTCTATACCATCGATTTTATAACAATCTATAGGTATTATTAAAAGTGTTGCAAATGTTTTAATTGCCTATAATATTAAATATATTTTTTTAATACTATTGCTGTTTGAAATTTAAAAAAAAACAACACATTTTGGTTTTCATACATTTATTTAATAAACATTAAATATGCTATTTTGTTCTCCAAATATTGGAAAGTAAAATATAATTAGCATGCATATATCAACCAGTACACAATCATAAATTAACGATCTTCAATGTCTTATGTACGAGACAAAGTGACGCGATGTTGTTGAACGAAAACAAAACAAATTCCGTTTCGAATAATTTCGCTTATAAAGGAATGACCTAAGGCACTTAATTATCAAAAGCCTAAACTTGTAGCATGTTGCATAACAAAATAGTAATACAATATATTGTAATTATAAATAAATATATAATATACACACAAACTATATATATATACTTATTTATTTATATATATAAACAGACATAATATTATATTCTTGCACAAATTAAGCCAAACCAGACGAGGGAATGGGGGTGATGATATTGTTATACACTATAGATATTTTATATAGGTATCTATATATATATATATATATGTAAAAAAATGTATATAATAGTAAACGTTAACATATCCTTGGCTTAATACTGATTTTTTTATGTGTTGATATAATTTAGATAGGTAGTGCATTAATAGTATTACAATATAGATAGGTATGTGATAATATAATTTCAAATCGGTTATTATCGGACCATATTACAACGATGACATTTGGAAATTACATGTATGCATACATATATCTGTTGTCACACAATATTACTGGCTGCTTTATTTATGTGTGAGTAAACTGCTAGATACATATTATTATTATTTTACTTCAAATTATATTAATAACTCGGTATTACATATTATTACATCTAATAAATTTTTTTAATAATTACTTCATCATCGTTATGATGAACATATCGTTGTCAAATAACAATAATAGGCTACTTAAAAAAAAAATATAACATATTTTATCTATATTTTCTAAATATTTAACAGAATAAAAAGGGCTGTACATTTTTTTTATTATTAATATTATCCTGGTTTACATCAATTAGATATGCCAAGAAATATTGCTTACAGATGCATAAAGTACAACCAATTTTATTTTGGAACAACTTTTATAACAACTGTGAACTAAAATCTTTATCACTGGCATTATTTTTACGGTGAAGTAGAGTCTGAAAAATCTGGAAGGGTGTGGGTATAAGAAATCAAGACATAACATTTTTTTATTTTACTTAAAACATTTTAGAGTAGGTATATGTTGTACCTATTAATTTAAAAACAAAGTTATGGATATGGGAACATTATATTATTAATATGTACCTTTTAAAAATTAAACATTTGCATATCATAAAAAATATCAATGATAATATTATTTTTGAAAAAATAATGTTTTATAAAACACTATACATGTGGAACACCCTAAACCAATTATCAAATGTTTCATAACAAATTAAATTTCTATATAATAACACAACAGTAATATCCAGGCAGCCTCATACTATGCACATTTAATTATTACCCAAACAATTTAAACTAATAATGTATTGTTTTTATTTTTAATCAACTTTTACATATTAGCTAATATTATTAAAGTTAAACTAAAATTGTAGTATCAAGTTTTTAAGTATAAGCACCAAATTCAGACAGTACCGTAGTTATCGGCTACTATAATTACTATTTGTTATCTTATGTACTACTTACGATAAATTACACACTAAGTATTCTAAGTATTTTAAATTATAGTACCTATTAGATATATCTAATTTTTATGGTTAATCTGACCATTTTGGAATCTAAATAAAATAATCAACAAGTTATTTCGTGTATATATATTTATGAAGTTTTGAAATAAAGTAAATAGTAGTTGAGCGTTACTGAGATTGCTAATATCTAGTAAATCCCAATACAATTAAGTAATTTTTTTTTTGTATAATACGTATTAATGACTTTTGATGGGTCCATACAACCCCGTCCTCCTGAATATTTATACATGTAATAATTATATTAAATAACGGGTAATGGTTTGTGTAGCAAATCCAATTTTAAAATCAAACAGTCAATTCAAAAAACCGAGGCTGTATTCATTTATTTAAGCAGGGAAAAATAGTAAATCCAAATTTGTATTATTTTTAAATAAAATTTGTTTGATCTCTGCAGTGGACAGGTAATATATTATAGCCTATAGGTAATAAACGTTATAAAAATAACAGTGTTATATTATAATAATGTTTACTGTCAGTAAAACATTTCATTACTTTATATTTAGATCAGAGATACTAAACCCATTCATATCCATTTAAACATGCAAATCAAAGATAACAATATTTCTTTTATGACTACTATATATATTTAATTTTTATGCCATTTTTAAACTTGATTGTTAACGACAAAAATATTTTATTTTAATGATAACGATTAACAAATTTTATAATGAACTTATTAACAAATTACTCCTGAAGAGGAGATCCAAAAAGCAGTCTCATAATTACACCAAATTTCCATGGTTTATAAAAATGAAAGAAAAATTTGCATTATATGAATAATGAAACGACCTAAAAATAATCATTTAAAAAGAATTTAAATGCAAATTTTTCTTTTCTTATAGCATTGAAAACTTAACTTAGAATGAGATATATTAAAAAAGACTATTCAAAGAAGTGATTAATTTGTTAATTTTTAATGTATGCCTGAGGAACTGTACAGAGGGCCTAATTTTCAAGTGGTCAGCCATTGTACGCGAATTTCCCATGCCCTGTAAGTAGTGTCCTTATCGTATTACTTTTTTTTTGTACAGGTTTTATCGTAAACAATAACAATGTATATATTGTTTTAAATATAATGATCTTGTCTAAAGAATTATTGAGTTAAACAACATATGCCACTGGATATTAGTCCGCCTTGTCGTTGATCGTGAGATGAAGAACCAGCAACCCTTGACCCGTCACTACGAGACAGCGCAGGGTAAGGGTTGCCTTGCACGTTTTTTGGACTAGTTGTACTTAAGTGTTCTTCGAAATCGTCGTATTCGCTGAGTTCGCCTTCATCAGTACCCGAGTCGTCTAAACAGGGGGATAACATCAAGCCTCCCTGATCATTTAACCATTTAGTAACAGCTTCTGTGATCGGTCCCGGGACTGCTGCATTGATAGGTGATGCCAATTCAAGTTTTCCCACTTCGTCCTGTCTAATTTCGTTTTCCGTATCAGAATTTCCGGTGTTCACCGCCGTCGCAAACGTTTCCTCTTCCACGGATTCACATGAATCAAGGGATTGTGTCTTGGTAAATTTAAATTGAATATTGTCTGTTGTAGACCTGGGAGTGCATTCCAACGAACAGAATTCTTCTTCTTGGATCCACTCTGCCTCTGGGCTGATCGATAACTGAATAATTTCTTCTGAAATGTTTTCTATTTCTTGTTTCAAATGATCCTCTTTAAGTGGTTTTGTGGTTTCTAATTTTTCGTGTTCTGGCCTAGATTTGTTCTTTTTGGCGTTTAGTTTTTTTATAATGGCCGGTTCTTTAGCAATTTTCGACGATTTCTTACTTCCTTCGTGTTGATTTTTCGGTAAGTCTTTACTCTTCGTCTTAATAATTGTTTCTGTAGTCGTTTTTTCTCGCTGTTTGCTCTTCTTATTCCTACTTTTTTTAGTCGTCGGCTGCCCACCGCTGCCACTAACAATTTGGGGTTTTTCATGTTTATTTTCGGTTGACCCTTTGACCATAACTTCACTGTTCGGAGAGCTAATGCCCGAGTCAGAGTTTTCTGCTGAATAGCTGGGAGCCGGTTCGGCATCTTGTTGATCATCAGTGATTTCTACTGCTTCAGCTTGTTCTTCTGGTATAACCTGATAACCAATTGGCGCTAATTGCTCCACGTATTGTGGTATCGGTTGGTAATATGCAGCCATTTGATCCGGATGATGGTGAACGAGGATCGGTGTTCCGTGCAGTATCTCGAATGGCGGTGGACATTCCATATGGAATGGTGGTGCGTTGTGGGATAACTGGACAGGTATGACATTCACAGGCGTCGAGCCACCACTATTGTTTGTCAGCACGCCCGAATCAGAGGTCTTCTCCGAGTCCAGCACGAGGTCACAACTAGCACCCGATTGACTTTTTTGTTCTTCCGAACTAGAGTCTGAGTATTCATCAGTCACCTAAAAATAATAATTTAATTTTGTTAGTAAATTCTTTAGTAGTTTATTACTTGTCAAATTATTTAAATTTAATAAACTAAACATTTATAATATAAAACAATTTGACTACAATTTGTTATCTAATTTGTAAAGTAGAGGTACCTTTAAACTTGTATAATATTTCCAATACACTAGGTAGGTACCTACATAGTAATATTTAGTACACACTACTGTTATAACTATTTTTTTTTTTCATTTTATTGTAATTGATAAAAACAATTTTATTAAAAGAAATATAAATACTTTTATAGAATGGTAATATTTATTGGGGTTTTGTTTCAGAAACTTAAATGTACAATTTATATTACATTTTAAACTGGGTATAAGCACTTTTCATTTTTATACATTCCTGTTATTATATTAACTATTTAAAATCTGAATTTTTAAATCTTTTTTTTTATTTTTTTATTTTATTTTATGATGATGTAAATAACTATATTTATAGTATTTAAAACATGGTTTAAAATATAAATAATCGCTATTTGATACCGAATACTGCGATAGACGTTCTCATAGCATAAATAGATTTATTTTTAAACCACATTATTGACCTTTTGCCTTTAATTCTTTTGTGTTTGAATAGTGTTGGTGTTTGCCAGAGTAACTAATTCCTTTTTTATTTTTTATTTTTAAAATGTCAATTGTTAGTTATTTCCACGTCACTTGTTCCTAGTGGAATGTCAATTTGATTTTATTTTTAAATAATATAATTTAGTGCTACGGTATGGTAAGTTAAAATGTTTAAAACAGCTAGTGGTTATGTAAGGAAAATAATCACCCAATATCGTTTGTAAATGTAGTCTATATTACGATTACATAAATATTATAAGATGAATCTAATTAATAATTTATCAGATATTCAAATCTAATTTAAGTGAGGAATTAGTTTTATGAGTGTTGTTAGTTTATACTACGTTCGGTTTTGTATAAAGATAACTTACGTCACCACGCTTTCTACGCTTCTTTTTCTTACGCCGTTTTCCGTTGGTGTAATCACAACTAATTGAAGGCGAAGGAGGAGACTGTGGTTGTGGAACTTGAATGCCTACACCTAAAATTTAAAAAAATGGACTACATTAATATCTATATACTTTTTAAATTATTATTTTTGTTATATACTAATATGTACGGTAAAAATTATTATATCATTTGCAAAATGATGTTTAATTTATCAAAGCACATTTTCATTATTTTTAATTTTTTCCTTTTTAAACTCTTCTCTCTAATTTTCTAATTAAATCAAATAGAAAAATATAATACCCTCTTACTTAATAAACGTCCAGACTTTTGAACTACTCATATATTTAAAACAAAATTTTCCCGATTCATGATTTCTATACACTGTAATTAAGTAGAAATATTTTCAATACCTATGAACAGTATGTGGCTGGTTGTACAGTAAGTATGTAATAAATATGTTCATTATGATTTAGGGTGTACATCATTTTTCATGCTTCAACCCATAAAATCTTGTTAATACATAAGATATCTGACCGAAAAAATATTTCTGTTCAATTGGTTTATGTTAACAGGTGTTGAATGTACTTGTAGTTTTCGGTCTATTCAATTATATTCATTCGTATTATTTATACAATATAAAATTATGTCTTTATAATAAAAAGTTAAGTATTCTTTAATGATTAAGTGTAATATAATCAAAAAACAAAATAATATACAAAATAAAAATAGAGATAGTAAATTGCAATAAACAGTAATTACATTTAGACATCTCAAGTCATTACATAATTACAGATTAAAAATCATAAATCGTTTCTGTGATTTTCAACTAGTAAATTATTTTTATAAACGTGTACGTATACGAATTCACCTTCCGTCAAGCTAGAAAAAAATGCTAGTTATAAAAATAGTAATTTGAAATTATGCCTTTTGGCTCTGCTCCACGACAGCATATATGATAAAGAACAATAAGAACGGTTAAAAAAACCACCGTGTTCATTTTATCCAACGTTCATAAATATGAATAAAAAAACTCTGGCTGAAACGGGAAAACTTGGCGTCGAGTTCAAACAGGAAATAATGAGAAGAATAGACACGTTGTCTATGTCATGATGTCGGGAGCTGTGATATTGATTGGTAACATTCATCACCTAATAATATTACGGCTGTGTGCTAATCGTCGGGATGTAAGTTATGTACCAGCATATTTTCTGGCTATCGAAGCCAAAGTTAAATTAGACGTATGGAATGTTTGGCAATGGCTAGTACGTAATCTAAATGGACATGAACTATAAGTTAATAATATTCAGGTCATCATCATCGCCGATCGTAGTGTGTTTCGTTGATTAGTACTTGATAATATGATTATTACCTAATACTATTTAATTGCTATCGAAACTCATAAACATCTCGGACATTTAACACCTGTCTGTGTATGATATTGAACTGGTATCATTAAAATAATATCGAAGAATCTTAGGTATATATCGACAACGTTTTAATTGTGTGCAAAAAGCAATGGGATATAATTACCGATTCTCGCTCACCATGTACTAATAATACTATTATATTCTATGATCTACGTTTGTTGCCTATACACCTATCGTCATTTATTTATTATTTGTTTGTTTTTGTTTGTTAGACTTTTAAGTGGTAAGCAGAAATATTTTTGTCGGTGTTTCGTTACTCACCATTATAATTGTACATAGGAGCGCTAAACATATATCCGGGGTACATATTATATGGCTGCGGTGACTGATATAAACTCTGCTGATCGTCCAGACTCGATTCCTGGGCACCACCGATGCCTACTTCTGAACTCTGAAATTCGAAATTAATATTAATGTTGCATAATAAACCAACGTCTATAGATTCGGAGTGATTTCCTAAGCACGCGTTTATAATGCACTCTCGTCTCACGTCGATCATAGACCACACGAATGCGATATAATCTGATAATGTCACTACCAATCGAAAGAACAATTGCGGTAATTAGAGACCCGTAACAATATTAAAATAAAATAGATCGTTACCTGCTGAGCGTCGGCAGTCATTGATCTCTTGTGGTGTCTGTTATTCGGCTGGTAAACGGTACCTCCGGACATCCAGTCGGAAGTCGCGTTCGAAGGGTTGTACCAGTCGACGGGTTGCATCGGCATCGGCTGGTATGGCATCGCTGCCAGCATCGGATGTCCGACCGGAGGATACATCAACGGAGTCACGTTACCGCTATACGGATCGTAGATCTCGCATCCGCCACCGCATCCTGAGGGTCCAACATAAATCGCATAAGTTTATTGTTGTGGGTTGTCGGCCGAGGGCATTTACATTGTGTGACATTGTGTTCGAGTTAAATCAAACGTATAGTGTCAAAACAACTGTTTATCGTTTTTAATTAAAACGATTAAATAAATAAACATCACCCTTTAAATTGAGTACCTACCTGCTATATTGTCCACCTAGCATTCCAATTTAACGCTGCACGTATTTAAGTACCTACTTTATAGGAGAAACGTATTTATATACATAGGTAAGACGGGCACGATTTGAGTCTTGACGTGGGAGAAAATTTTTAATTTTATAAAATGGTGAGTTCCATTTCTGTAAATACTTTTAAGCAGCGTTGCTGTAGTAGTAGTAGTACAACTTTCCTATACATTTATAATATGGGTAGATACATTCAATCTACGAATATTGAACTGTGGGTTTTTCAAAATGAATAAATTTACAACAAAAACCACTAATAAAATAAATACTTAAGATCGATAAAGCAATAAATTACACACGTACGTAAGGACATCTCGAATTTAATGATCTTTAAGTGTTAAACTATAAGAGCGACTGCTATGCAATGGTTTTTCGTTTAGTTGGATACTTGGATATCAAAATCGGTATTCACGTGAAATGCTTGAAAAACATTATTAATTATATTCATGCGTTTATATATCACATATTTTATCAATAATAATTTACGGTTTATTGTCCATGTATAAATAATATAATTAATAATTATATATTGTGGCGTAAATTACATTATATTATACTATATTAATATATTATAATATAGCAAATAATGATCACTCAAAAGTAAGGTTGAACTATACTTATTTCAACATATTATTATGCACGCGGTAATAAAGTATTATAATTTATAATCATTACATACCACTAAGAACGTACATCATAGACGGGTCAACATATTCACCGTGAGCACACAACTCGTCCAAAGGGTTGATATTAATTGAAACGCCATCTAAAACACGTAGTAATATCGATTACCAATTTGTCCTATAAAATAATTGTTCCGATTTAATTCTACTGACCTTCATTTTCATTTAAAACTTCAGTAATGACTGGTACACTACTGTGCTTACGTCTTCCCAAGTAACCTTTTTTGAACAACACGTCTTGTCTAGGCGTTGTGATCTTAGTGTACTCGTCTGTAAAAATACAAATTGAATAATACTTTGGCAATACAATAGTTCATGGTAGTTTATAATGGATTAATATATTAAACAAAATGTTTACTTGACACTATTAACCACGTATACGACTAAACAATAAAAAAACAATTTTAAACACCTTTGTTTATAGTACTTAAAGTGTTTATAAAACCACGCCATGTGCATTGTGCATTCATATAAAATATAAGTAAGACTGAGAATACATATATGATCTGTATATTTATCTATGAGTATTTATTTTTTCAATTTAGTGAACAAATATTTAAGCGTAACGATTTTCTTGAGATTGCCTAATAATATGACATATTCATTAAAATGATATATAATACTGTTCAAAACATTTTAATAATATATTGTTTGTTGTTATTCGTCTATACGTGATCTATAAATATATTGAGGATAGCAAAAAAACAATGTTGATAACATTACGTACACGCATTTGAAACAGCGGAATCAATAAGGGACTAGGTCATTGTCCTTAAGTGCCCCATGTACCACACCATTACCCGCAAAAATATATAAGAGCGAAATCGTGTATCATTAAAATCATTCAATGAAAATTTAATGGATATCAACTCGCTAGGAAATATAATATTATTATACATACTCTAACCGTCATACTTAGTTCATAAATTTACAATAATTTTAGTTGATTCATCCCATTTTATTTTTTCAAAAACTACACAAACGAATCGAGGTTTACTTAATTGTTGATAGATTTTAAATAATATTTAAAGTGCTTATTAAACAAATATTGTCTTTTAGAAATTTCGAGATGCTCAAAATATTATATTGTTAAGTTATGTTCTATTGCATTACAAATGTATAAGCCAATATTGATGGGAAGTTTGCTCCTTCTACCCGTAAACGTAAACAGTGATCACAAACTTAACAAATATAATATATTCTTTTTATTTCAACAATGTTATTATTTGCTCATCAAATTGCAATTATTTATTTATCTGTGTACATGACAGAATTCATGTTACATAACATTTGTATTTTAACAGATCAAAATGGAATTATTACATAACAGTTAGAAAATAAATATTTATAAATACATTCGTGGATAGAAATTTAAAATATAGATATTTTTTTGTTCAGTTTCATGGCAATTGGAACTAACGATTTTTCAAATAATTAACATTTAAAATTGTTTTAATGCCCAATAAAAAGAAGCTATATTATACAATATAATTGTTTGAAAAACAATTATTACTATGTTTTAAATTATTATTTAAACCCGCTCTGCCGTATTTAACGATCTTGAGCTCTTTAAGATCGCCGGTTTGATTGTAAAAGTGTATAGACTTGGAGGCAGAATGAAATACAAAATGGACAACATTTTCAGAACAGCTTTCAATAACCCTGTTAAAAACTGGAAATTCTCTTGTAGCAATACTATACAGTCTAACCCAGGAAAACACAGAGCCGCTTAAACTGGTCAAAGAAATACTTTTTAAGTAGAAAATGACAGAAAATCCTAATTATGACTTCGGAAATTCAGTACAGAGTCTGTACCACATTTACCAGAAATAATCTCCCCTGAAAAAGTTTCAAGAATATTGGGATGACATATCCACAAGCGTTCCCCGAAGCACAATCACATCATAAACAGAAATACAGAACCATTGAATTTAGAACTGTAATACTCAAACACTAATAATGGCTGAAGTTATGTCATTATATTATATTAATAACTTACTATATTTACTTTCTCATTATTTTATTTTATTTATTACCTATATTTTGAGGCACGTAGACAAGTATTCGTAAATTTATCATATAAATATAATATTACATTATACAAATTCAGTACCTAGTACATGCCACACCATAAATAAATAAATAATTATTTAGAATTTACATGCTTAATGTCGTCTACATCAAGCCACTATATATAATATTTATATTTTAGTAAGTACTTAACTCGTTTTTTTTTATGAAATTTATAAATCATTACCTTCGACTTATATTATCATTTTCAGTACATTTCATTCATATACATTTTGTTTTATGTTATTATTTATAGATGTTTAATTTTAAATTAATTCTACCTATTCTATAAAATATGGTAATAAATATAATTTTGAATATTTGTCATGAAAATATCGTAAAAATAAAATAAAATAAATATCTTAATATAATATTTTAGATTCTAAAATAATAATTACAAAAAAAAAATCAAAGGACAGTTCATTATAATATATACATTTTATGTGCGCAATGTAAGTTGTTTAATGCAGTCATTAAATTATCTTACACATACTTTTATACCTATGAAACATGTTATTAACTCAATAATGATCTTTCATATTTCATACGAAAAAAAAATTGGCTTGAATATCTTATTAAAGTAGGTACTTTTATCACACCATTTTTCATGGACTAAATAACTTTGAGTTTTTAGTGTTTATTTATTTACTTTATATGTTATTCATAGAAATAAATTTCACATAACTATGAGTGAAATCAAAACAAATAGCTTATCATTTTTCAATTTGAAATTCTAATTTAAACATACAATTATTAGGTAGTAATTTTATTCACAATTAAATGGATATATTTAAAATCACAGTTTCTAAATGCTCTCTGGGATGTAAAAAATGTTATGTCCTCCCTTTCACCACAATAATTGTTTCCCAAAGCAAAAATAAAATATATTATTTTCAAGAATATAGTGCCCACGGATAAAATATTACGCACATAATACTTATGCTTTTCCTGTTTTAGATTCTGAGCGAAAAGAGGAATGTATTGATTTTTCTATGTGTTTTGTTTGTATTTTTTTATTGTGAACAATGTTTCTGGTAGGAGTGCTAAAACATTTTTAATTAGACCAAGCATCATTTGAAGATCGAGCCTAGTTGGTACCTACTATCTACATGGCTGCATTGGAGAAGCCCTTTATCGATTTTTCAGCAGTTTCCACGAGCTAGTGGGAAACCAAACGGACAAATGTAAGCAAACGCCGTTAAACAGCTCAGCTCAGCTCTTAAAAAAATGTTTTTCAAAAATGTCGTCGTGTAATGACTTCAATTTGTATGAAAAATATTTCAAAGACAGTTTTTAGTTTTTGTAATATTATGAGTGTCTCCCGTTAAGAGAAAATAGCCATGGCTATTTAATAAATGAGTCGTAATTAATGTGTTCAACCTATTCGATTCCGGACGAATTTTGTACGTACACGCTTCCGAGTACATCGTCACATCGACCGTTATCGGTGAGAGCTTTTTTTCCACCACTTTAATGGGTGGATAACTATCAGCTTTATTCATTAATTTGCGTGACCATCACCAGGTCGTACTGACTAAACTCATTATTGCAGGGGTTATAATGTGTACCTACACTCCGATGTTGTATTATTATTATTATTTTTTTTTTTTATCGTTGTCGTTTAGCGATCCTACGAACGACGTCTATATTATGTAGTATTACACTTATTATTGTTATTTTCCCGTAGTTCGTACCCTTGTTCGTACTTACTGCGTATACATACTGGAGTACCTATACCTAAACATGTATAATAATACGTAGGTATTATGTAGTTTTAGAACCCGGCATTAACTCCAAGCATACATTGTACCCACTATCATTAACATTTTATGTACACACATTTTAATTAACTTCAATTATTTTTTTCTTAATTAAAAGTAGGTTGTCGAAAATTTTTTTTAATTTCCCATAGAAAACGCATAACAATTCAATGTTATGCTGGACAATTTTCACCTACCCATAAATTGTCGTTTAAATGTTATAAACAAATTATATTATGCCCATAGTTACACGTGTACTTGTATTATTTTTTTTATAAATGAAAAAATATACATATACAGACGAGGCTTAAAACTCTTAGGTAGTAAAACAAAACGTTGCAGCTCACAAGTCGTTCATTTACGAAATGCTTTACATTATACAACCTATAATTATATAGTTGTATACCTATTAGTTGTATCAGTGATGGCAACTATATTATAATAATTGTTGTTACGCGCGTTAGTGTCTGAAAATTAGGGGGTGGCTGTGGACTGACTAAAACCAATTGTTTTATTTAAATGTTTTCACTTACCCTCATTAAACGTGACGGTTGAAGATTCAACTTGATTGTTCTGTGGTCCTGCACCCGTTGAATTATTTCGGTTCGGCAACTGATGCTGTTGGTACGTTTGATGTTGAGTGTGATGACTTCGTCGGCCTGCCGCTGCGGCGAAATTCACTGGTTTCTGGTCCGTCGAGTGACGGCCGGACGGTTGTTCGACAGCCGCATACGGTTTGTCTGCTGTAACAGTTACATAAAAAGTTTTTATTATTTCCGGCTAGTCATAAAATATAACAATGATATCCTGTAATTATTATTATTTTCATAATTATAATCACTGTTGTTTACAATCATTGTATTGTTACTATTGCATATTAATTATTTTAATTTTTGTGTACATCGGTGGGAACAGCGACGACAGACGTAATTCTGTGGCGTTACATATATTTCACGTGGCGTCATTTACCGGCACAGTACAAGTCATGGCTGCTGTACAATATATAATAATACTATTATGACATTCTAGCGGTAATGTTTCATATAAACATATATATATATATATATAAATATACTAGCGGACTCCGTGCGGGTGAAGAATTAGTGTTTATAAAAAAAGTTTTAAAACCCGAGCAGATGGGTGTAGGTATTCGTATTTCACCGTTTAGTTTTCAGGTTCAGAAATCGGGTCGGTCATATAAAACTTATTTACAATGCACAAAAATCCATCCACGTGCTGATCTAGCCAGTAATTTCTGAGATCGTCTCAGACAAACACAGCGGGAGACCACTTTTTATTATAAATATATGAGTTTATATAGGTATTTATATATATATATATATATGTGTGTGTGTGTGGAAATTTCGGTAATCCGCATTAAATGGTGCACAAAGCATCAGTCTACAAATGTCGACACATGTTTATTTTATTACACATGAACCTATCACCTATACCAGAGCCGTAGCCAGGTAGCTACATTGACGGTTCGACCTTTACCGTTAAGTGATCGATACAGAAACGAGACAATGATCACTATGCCTTGTGTAATTGTGGATGTCGCATATAACTATTATTCGTATTTCGTAGTATTGAGGTAGGTACTTTTTACATTTAATTGTAGAATATTTAACGCCGGATATAATATTATATAGTATACACTTTACGCCCAATAGATACTAAAATTAAAAAAAAATAAATGAATTGATCTTAAAATATATTATTTGGTGTACATCAAAATACGAAAGTATGGCTATCCACTTTAAATGTAGGTAACAAAAACAAATATAAATTAATTTAAAAAAAAACACTACAAAATATCTTAATGCAAAGTAATACTATCAAAGGTCCACGATTAAAACAGCTAAAGAGTATATCACAGAATGGCAAAGGTGTTCTTTATCATCACTCGACATCGGGTTCAAGTTTAAAAGAAAGTTATCGTTAATAATTAATGTTCACGGGTGATTATAAATTTATAAAATTTAATTATTGATGTATAATTTATGAGAACTCCTTGGCAACTTCTAAACCATATAAATATTATATACCTATACACTGCAGCGTTTGAAGACGGTCATATAAATAGCCAGCCAGAATGGTTATATACGGCCAGTGCAATAGACTTATTTTTAGTGTCGCTCAACTAGATTTGACATTTAAATATGAAAAAAGCAAATTTCTCTCATTAATTATTTGAACGATGCGTGCCTGCAACGAGGTCTAACTCCATAGGCGCGTGGAGGGTGACAAATTGTTTACCAACAGTAGCTGGTATAGGTACTTATAATTTGTACCACCTATAATTAGTTTTAAAATAATAATCCTCCATACACAGGATTACGAGAGTATATAAATGTACCCAACACGTTCAAAGATGTCTTTTAAAAATACTATACAGACGTATTATACACGCGTAATGTTATGTTCATTTTAAATAATAAAATTAATACCTCAGAACGGTATTTAGATACGTCGGTTAAATTTTTTTTTTTTTTTGAAATTATATTTAGCCATTTCTCTGAGAGAATAACAAATCTTAATAAAATAAATAATTTAGCTCTGTGTAGTATGTCTTAAAAACATTTGAAATATAATCCATGTTCCTAGCGAGTAATGAACAAAGGACGTTTTCATAATGGTTTAACCTTGTTACCTTATTACTAGGGCTGTGAATTCATAGGAAAGTGCATTTTTTTTTGGTGATTGTAAAACATAGCTTTGTGAGTACATAATTTGAATTATGTAATAACGAATCCATCTATGAAACTTTTATTTTGCATATTTTTTCATTTTTTGACGTTTTTGAATTTTTAGGTCATTTTTTCGCATTTTTAAGTCATATTTTACTTTTTTAGTTCATTTTCTAGTATTTTTAATCAAATTCCATCAATTGACTTGTTCGAAAACTTTTTTTTTTATTTTACACGGGCTAAATATATTATGTCAAATTTATATTTTATTAAATAATATTTTACACGAGTCACACGCTATATACGGGTTAGGTAAAGATAACGATTAGATAAAATAAGGCAATTGCTAGACAACTAGATAACTTAGATAAGTTATTGTGGCATATCGTCAAATCAAATTCAATCAACATTTTTATTATTTTTTTTTATTTTTTTAAATACTTTTTTAACACTTTTTTGTACTAATGTTTAATATCCTGTATCCAATAATATTAATATAAATATAAAAATTAAATTAAAAACCATTTTTAATAAATTTTATACTATAATTTTTGGCATTTTATATTCCTTTTTTTTGCGTTTTAAGTGCATATTTTGCATTTTAAGTGCATATTTAATTGCATATTTTTGACATTTTTAATGCATTTTTTAAGGTTTTTTAGTGCATTAAATTCACAGCCCTACTTATTACCCCTTTGGGTAATAATTGTATGTTATAATAGAAATCAGTAAAATATTTGTGGCACAACACATTTTTGTTCACAGTTTATTTTTACCTGGACTCTAAATATATACAAACGAAGAAAAAAACAATACAGGATTATTTTAAAATATAACCGTAAGTTTCTCTTATGAGAATTCAACTGTTCAAGCATAAGATAGATGTATAATAATTGTATTATTAGAATTAATCAGTACCGTCGTCCATAAGTTTTTATATTACTAAATAAATGCATATTTAGATTATTATGGGTCACCTTGATCGTCTTCAATAAAGGTCGTCTGTCAAAAAATCTAACATCGTTTTTGTAGTCAAACTTTATTCGACTGGAGATTATAAAATTCGACAGGAATCCATTCAAATTCAAATTCAAAAGAAATAGAAGGACAAAAAAGTGTAATTTGTATTTTATCAACTTTATGATACTCACCCCCTCTTCCCATTATCATCTAAGATCATACACAAAACTTACTACATTCATAACTATTCGAACATACTATATTAGGACTATATATTACATACTCATAATTTTTTAATCTCTAAGTTGTTTTATGTTTTTAATTGATGAAAATGTTAAAATTAATATTATTATTTATTACGTTTAATAGTTTTAAGTGTTTTAACTATCTAAAAGTGGTTTATCGCATTTAATGATTTCCCTCAATAATCAGAAACGTCTAGTTACGAAATTTTTATTGGTGCTTTTAACAAGAGGTTAACATCATAATATTATATTGGTGATTCGTATTTTTCTGTTAAGTTCCAAATATCTGATAAATTATCAAATTTATGTTTTTTTTATTGATTTTGTCTGTTGTACAACGACTTTAAAGAACATTTCCTGTCATATTATATTCATAATTATTATAAATGATGTACATATTCAATCAATTTCTAAATCAATATTACCTACTTCGTGCATTCAGGAGATCAAACGTTTATTTTGCAGTAAATATACAAATTACAAATTTTACATAGATACTATATGGTATATTATTATGATTTATGTATATTACGGGGGTCCTTATTTTTTAAACTTAATTATATTTAGTCCGTATCTACTAGGTATTATCTATATTATGTATAAATGTACTATTTAGAGAAAAAATAGTTAAACAAAATACATTTTTTTAAACAGTAAAGAATTATAAAAGCAAGCACATATTTTTAACATAATTATCACAAATTTTAGTTAACCTCGGTATCGACGGTATCACAGAAAACTATTATTCTGTGACAGTCCTCTGATCAGAACTGTTTCCAGAATGAAATGATTTACAACGTAAAAAGTTTAAATTTCTACTAATATAGTTTATTATACATTTTAAGTAGGTTATATACTTATCATAATAATACCAGTTCATGGAAGTGCATAAGTCAATGGGTTAAAATAAATTTAACATTTATATTTTTTTAATTAAATATATTTTGTTATCTGTTTATTTATTTCCTAAAACCATATCAAATAAAAAACTGACGAAACATTATGCACATTATTTAAAAACGTTTACAGTTGTACCTATTTCAAGTTATTATGTTTAGTAATTATCATTTATACGTCGATACTTGATATTAACTTGTGGTTAGCTTAAACATGGTGGTGTACTGTTTGTATGTAGTTGAACCCAATAGGTATCTTAAATCTTAATACTATGAAATCTAATATACAATAGCGCATTTCCCAATAATCGTGGTAGTTTTTATTAAACTAAGTATACCAACCAAACTTGAACGAAAAAGTATTGAATTAATTATTTTAATTTATTTTCCAGTTAGTATTTAAGTATAAATATAAATACATTCAAAATATTTTCAAATATTTAAAAGTGTATTTTCATTTTTTACATTTGATAAATGTTAATAATTGTCCATGTTAGTTTCTTTATTCTTTATTAAGTAAAATTTAAAGGAAACAAAAACATCAAAATTAACTATACACAGAATAAAAGTTACTTAAAATATTTATACAGCTTATACCTAAATAATAAAACTTTTTAGTTATTACTTTTTTTAGAAACAAAATTATTATAAAATTATCATCTGCATCATTCTATTTCTAGGTTTTTTAGGTATACGTACCCTGCATAAGTGCATAATGTTAAATGCATTAATAAATTAAAATTTAACATATTTTCTTGAATTTATATTATTTTAGTTTATATTTTTTTATGTTGTGATTCAGGATTGAATGGTCTTGGGGTATATTCATTTAAAATATATAAATAGAAGGTATATTTATATATTAGGTATATAAATATAATATAAACGGTTGATCCTTTCGGCACCCCTCGGCTTTTGCGTGGTCGGCATTTAAGAAAACATAGAGCCACAT